CACACACACACACACACACACACACACACACACACACACACACACACACACATACATAGAGCAGCATGTAGAAGATCGTAAAATCTAAAATACGTTATTAATGAATGAAATATGAGGCAATGAATGAAATATTAGGTAAATTATTATGTATTAATATTTTTTATTACAAATTATATTATTGAATTTTCTATGGAATGAAACCGTAGAATTCCTTTCTAAACGTCGCATTTGTTTCAAAGTCATAAAAGCGAATGTTTTTCCGCGATTGCGACGAGCGGTTTCAATCGGCCATTTACGAAATTCGTGTAAACCACAATTCTTGTCACTTTTGAATGCGACGACCGCCCGTGAGATTGTGTCGCATTTGATATTTTACCACGAATTTTATGGATGACCGACTTCACGTTTATATTTTGAATTTTTGGACAATTCAAAAGCCAAATACTGGCGTGGACAATCAGTGTGTGTACCAATCTTTCGGTTTTATCACGGTACGCAGTGACAGAACAAATAAAAGGATTGAACCGTTATTCCATTTGTCCGTTGGAATATGCTTCGCTTGTTATAGTTGAGAATAGATTCTTTACAGTATATACAAAGTAAAAGTATTCTTATTCTCAGAGTAATTGCTTTTAACAGTTAATTACTGAACATCTTTCCGAACGCGAGATGATTTATTATTCGAGTCTCCTTACGTTTTCCTTGCTGTTCTGCTGCTCTGATAAATTGAGAAATTTATAATTAGAATAAATATTAGGAGCTCACAGCAAAGCAGGCCGAAATACAGAAAAAAATGTCATTCTATTGCTAGGAAAAGTACTAAATTTATTTTCTTCTTTTTTAATAATTAATAAATTTTCTTAAATATTCTCTCTCTCTTTCTTTCTTAATAATAATCTTAAAACACTTATTATTAGAAAAACTTATTACTATGTACTCAAAACAAAAAATTTATTTTCTTTTGAAGTATATTGTAAAATTGATCAAAGAAGCGATTTTATATAATAAATAAATCAAATTGTTTAAATTTAATAATTTTGATTGAAGTATTAAACTTACTAGGATTTAGAACAAATTTGATGCTTGTAATGAATTTATGATTTGCGAATATATGAATATTTTTGAAATGCTTGAAATAAATAATTATTACTTGCGTATGTATTTTTTTGTTTGCAGAGGCAATAAAATCGCTACGATAATGGGCATAAATAATTTCAAGATACGAGGCTAAAAATAAATAAAAAGTGTAATTTAAAGAAATGAACAAATAAAACGTTATAATAACAAGACATTTATCGACCAGTCTGAAGTAGACCAGTTCGAAGTAGAAATATTGTTTCCAATTATTAACAGAGATTTCACACGTACAATTCATGTAGGTACTTCCTTTAAATCCTCTCATTTTTTATCCTTGAAAATCTTTCTTATTATTAAATTTTAAATTTTGATTTCTTTGATTTAAAGATAAAACTATTAGCATTACTTTATTATAGAATGTAACGAATACGTTGTTTTATTTGAAGTTCAGTATTTAGTTTCTCGCAAGCTATAATTCGTATGAAATATAATACTTGTTAGAACTTTATGTGTGTTGGAAAAATGATACCGGACTTTAATCTCTATATTCTGCTCGTGGTGCAATATCAGCAAAATATCGGGGACAGGCGACGATTTTTCGTAAACATTTCAAATATTTTTCAAAATTCAACCTGCAGTCTCTCTTTTTAAAATATGATACTTCGCATTGCAAATAAAAATATCGGAAGGAAAGAAAAGAGAGAGGGCAGCATATTAAATTAATATGCGTTTGCTTCTGCTTTTTGTTACAGGAGAGAATCCGGCTGCCATGCAACACGGCGGTACCACGGCCCCGAGAGCGACCTTTATCTTTACCGTTGTGGTATCATTATCATCGCTCTTAAGGTGACCGTGATAACCCCGGTGCATTTTGGACCTGCGATCCGAATGGTGCTAATTTTCTCTTTCCCCTATGGAGACTCGTGCGCTCTGTCATGCGGAATGTCCTCTCGAAACGCAACGGGCGAAAACTTTGGGCATTAGGCCCTCCGCTCCTTTCCGCATGCATGCCACATGAGATTGCTGCGAATAACATAGACAGGAATATAGGTATTCTCACGCGAAACGCAAATACGTGTGTGTGCGCGGTAACGACGGAGATATCATCCGAATCCGTTTCGATCGTGGACTTAACTTTTGGACAAGTAGCTTCACTGTGAAGCACCGCGTCTCGTAGTTTCGTCCTACGGCGAGACGGCATATATCAGTTTCCACAGAGCATTTCCGAGCATCTCTTGAGAAACTTGACTAATCACTTCCAGCGGCGATCAATGCGGGATTTGCGTATAGAGAAGGACGAATAGCGTTTGCGCTCAGAACGCACACTGTAAATTTCAGGAAGAGGGATAGAAATTTCATGTCGCTCCCTCGTGTTTGAACTGTTGGTAACATGTTGACAATGCATTGTTAATGCATATGTTATTTGCGCATCCGTATGTTCAAACGCGGATACATTAATTAAGAAAATTCCATTCATGTGATATGTAATGCCAGACTATCTATGGCATACGTTCGCGTGTGTTGAAAATAATAATTAGCTAATCGATGATTCGATTGATTCCACAATCAAGATGTTCTCATTTTATAATTTTATCCTCATACCGTAAAGAATTTTAAAATATATACCGCAAGTTAAACATTCTATTTCTTATTGATTTAAATGTGAATTAAATTTAAAGGTGTATCGTTTCCCTGTAAATTTTAATATGTCATTTTTCGGAGGGTGTAACAACGAAAAACTATATCGATTGAAAGAGACGAATCTTGGCGAGGGTAAATACGTTTTATAAAGTTTGCAGATTTGAAATGTATATATATATATATACTTTTGTATATATATAT